TGTGGGTGTGGATGTGGGTAGGTGTGGTTGGGTGTGGGTGTTGGTGTGGGTGTGGGTGTGGGTGTGGTGGGTGTTGGGTGTGGGTATGTGTGGCTGTAAGTCTTTTTGAACTGAAGATTGACATCTACACTCATAGTCACACCCTCACCCACACCCACACCCACGCACCCACATCTCACACCCACACCCCACACCCACACCCGCCCACCACACCCACACCCACACCCGCCCACCACACCCACACCCACACCCGCGGCGTGCCTGGCTCCCGGGTTGATACACTTTTATGCTTATAAAAACAAAAAAAGCAAGCTGTTTTATTAGAAATTTTTAATCAAATTCAAGGATTCCGACGGTGTGCTGGTGATTGCATGATTACATGAACGCTTTAAATGAAAAAAAATTAGTTTTTTGTCCGTTTCGTAGTCCTTCTTCATTTATTACATTCCAGATCGAATTTTTGTATTCGATGATTTCCCCAATCGACAACATAGAGATTGCCGAGTCGATCGAATGACAAATCTTTGGGCTGATTGAATTGGTTCGATTGTTCTCCTTTACCATGTCCACCAACAATGACAGTTCCCTGTGTGGCTCCTTTGGGCCAACGCATGATTCGATCATTCGCTTCATCAGCCACATAGACAGTGCCCAATTGATCGACAACGACTCCTTCAGGGCAAGCCAATTGTGTAAGACCATTTCCTTGTCCTTGACCACCAGCCACGACAATGCCTTGTTTTGCACCTTCCACCCATTTCATCACACGATGATTTCCACAATCAGACACGTACACTGAATGATTTTGATCGACGAATACATAGGGTGGGTATAAGAATTGATCGAGACGATTTCCACTTCCATTGCCACCTGCAACCACTGTTTCTTGAGATTCTCCTCTTCGATATCGTCTGACTTCAGGTTTTTGATTGTCAGTGACATAGAGAGATCCATTCTCGTCCATTGTCAAACCCACACAAGCAATGTCGGAGATGATCGTTTCTCCATTTGTCCCATTTCGACGAGGCCATCGAACCACTCTTCTATTCGAACGATCGCAGATGATGAGACTATCTCTCTCTTTGTCGACAATCACATCTATTGGGTTAGATAACTGATGAGTCCCACTTCCTTGTCCATTTCCACCGGCAACCACTTGGATACTCGTCGCACCCCTTTTCCATTCCACAATACGGTGGTTCGAATAATCAGCGACATATACAGTTTGATCATCATCAACATACAAACCCCATGGGTTAGAGAGTTGATTGATTCCATTGCCTTGTCGATTTCCTCCGGCCACAGTGATACCACTCTGTGCCCATTGGGCATTGACGGAGATATTAGGAATTACTACAACGAACGAGACATAGAATCGTCGTCAAAGAGATTCTCTTCGTAAGAGAAAGGGTTGCGCAATCGAAAAATTCTTCTTCGAAAAGGGAATCCGTTACAAAAGTGGAGAATTATCTCCTCTAACAATATCTGACCCATAAAGAAGGTTCTCCTCGCAGAGATAAAGTCACATCGAATGAGTCCTTGTCAAACATCTATGAAAAGTTTTTTCATTGTCGTTTGACATTAAAAATAAAAATGATCATGTTTTCAAACGATTTGTGTAAGTTTTATTTAAGATCTTTTGTCTTATAAGGAAATCTAAGGATCTCAGCAGGAATGTATCCTAGACTTCTACGTGGTTATATCTCAGTAAAGCCTATAACGAACTAACAGAGCTCTATAGGAAACATTGAGACTTCCGGGAGAAGTTCTCAGCATGGTTTCAGAGGGATTTGTCACAAGTTTCCAACTACGGATTTACTTGAGTGGTATTGGAAGCAGCACAACAATGGCATGGATCAAGAGAAATTTTTAGCGAAGTAATATGAGGTTTTGACAAGATCAGCGAGAAAGGTTTTTAGCGAGTATAGATGAGGATCTTCGCGAGAAGGAAGAGAACTAGACAAGAATGCTAAAGGCGACATGTGGAATGCTAGAGCAAAATCTCGGGTGCCAGACGAAACATGTAGAATGCTGGAAGCCATAACAGGGATCCAAGATGCATTACGTGGAAAGCTAAAAGATATATCCGGATACTGAGAAGAGCATCTGCAATGCTATAGACAATATCTGAGATGCTAGAAGCATCATGTGCTATTTTCGAGATGAATACACGGATAGTGACGGTGTCATCTTTGGTACTAGAAATATTATCACGGAAGCTCGAGGCTTGATGCGGCTGGAGAGTTCGATTCGATGCCCTGGGTGTCGATTGGCAGGCTAGGGTTGGTAGTTGGTATGCAAAAGGAAACATGGGGCATACTAAAGATACCATGTCAGACGTTACACGATCGAGATGAAACGCTTATCGTAGTAGCTGGTTTTTGCTTTGGTCACTATCTGCGTCACAAAAGAAAGCCGTTCTGAAGCTAATGGTACGAAGGTGGTGATTGGTAATTAGTTTGGGTACAGTTGTGAATGTAGGGTGTGGGTGTGGGTGTGGATGTGGGTGTGGGTGTGGGTGTGGATGTGAGTGGGTGTGGGTGTAGGTGTAGGTGAGGGAGTGAGTGTGGGTGTGAAGATAAGACCCACACCCACACCCGCACCCCAACGCCACCCATACCCACACCCACACCCACGCCCCATACCCACACCCACACCCCACACTCACGCCGACACCCACACCCACACCCACACCCTCGAAAAAACAGAATAATATTATAGAGATAAATTGTTACGAATTGTCTCGATCCTCTCGTCATTAGACAGTTTGAATTTTTATATTCTTCTCTTACGAAATAAATCTCGGAAATTTCTCATGTTCAGGTATCGTCTCCAGAATACGTATCTGTACCAACGGTGACTCGCCAACATGCATTCTGCTCTCATTAGTACCTTACTGAGGCAGCTCAGCCAATGGTGCTGCAAGTCTTGAAAACCGACTTACATACGCAGCTGCATTACTTTTCATAAGTCGTATATTCATCCCATTCAATCATTAATGTTCTTTTGAGCTCTAGCGATCACTGCGTCATATCTACATGATCAGTGTTCACTTTGACATATTTACTGATTAGAAATAGAAGAGAAAGAATTATATGCGTTTTCTTGTGCACTAGCTGTCAATTAAAGTTGTTTTGAAAAAAAAGTGCTGTCTATTGAACTTAATTTTTACAAGAATGAGCCAACAAAAGAACGAACATTCGGAATGAAGAAGAGGGTAACACAAAAGAATTGATGTACCCTATGAATATTCCAACATATTACACGTTCTACAGAATTGAATCAAATCGAACGGTCGATTTTTCATTTTTTTTTCGATTCCTGATGCACATTCAAAAGTTCCCTGTGTCTTCATGTATTGCTAGATATAACTACAAACTCTTCATTTCAGATTAACGGATATGGTCCATGAGAAGAGACGAACCTTTTTCTCCAATAATTACGTTTCATTTTGTTTTCGTCATGATTCATCTACATCTTTTAAAGCCTCTTCGGCTCTTTCTCACCATTCTCCCACGAACATGAATTGGATATGTGAGAATATGTGAAGGTTGAAGAGTGTGTGGGTGTGGACCTATGTGGATAGGTGAGTATGGGTGGGTGTGGTGTGGGTGGATGAACAAAGGTCTGCTCACGCTCCGACCCAATCCACATCCATCTACCTGCAAATATTCCATTCAATTGCTACGAGTTCAATAGTCTTTATTCACTTTGAGAAATAGGTTCAGAAGAAACATGCATTATAAGTATTGTTACTTTGGCTCACCGACTAATTTTATACAAAACTTTCAATGAAATTTAGCAACACTTGGAACGCTTCTCCATCAATCCAAAAAACAATCTTGAATTTTAGTTCAGAAATCACGAAGATATTCAAGTATTTTTCATGACAGATTTTTGAGACACCCTGTATATTCCCAAGCAATATCAAGAATTTTAATAGAACGACTCTTAATGGAAACACAATATCAACTTACTCGTTTCGTTCGGGCACGGCCGGCCGATCGATGCAATGGAATTGGGGCAAAAGCAGCCGAATGTGTAATTTCCAGGAAATCCTTGTTCAACACAAATAGCTCCGGATACTCCGCATGTGCTTTTGAGATCACAGAGTCCTTTTGAGGCAGAATATGCAGTGTATCACAAAAGTCGTTTGTGTAAAATAATGTCGCATAACTCCACTATTTAGTTAAACTTAAATGATTATGAGTTTTTAAGGATCGGTGTAGATGTAGACGTGGGTGAGGCTGGGTGTTACTGGGTGAGAGTTTTTGGATGAGGGTGAAGGTCTTCTCTTCACCTTCACCCATCTACACCTACCAACATGGTCATTCCGTCTCCAACATCACATTGTCACCACCATTCATCCTCTTTCAAATCACTGGAAAGAAATATATTCTTTTACTGAAAACTTCACTTGACGTCTCCAATTCGGTTCTCTCGAGAATATCTTGCTGTGTACTGAATATTCAGTGTAGCAGCCCTTACTATTGAGTACTATGTCATGAGAACATATAAATTTCTCTGGAATTCTCTTAGTCTCATCGAGCTTTATTAAGGGGAAAAAGTTGAGATTGATATCATGAAACTAGTTAGAGTATTTCCCTGATGAGTAGTTTTTGCAATAGGATAAAAGTGATACTTCGTATTTCAGTGGCTAGAGGTACGTAGTTTTCAAGAGTAGCTGAGATATTTCTCTTTACGCATAAAAATTTGACGATGGTAACTTTCATAAGAAAAAAAGATAGTCAATTAGGTTTAATCAAAAAGTGGTATTATATGAAATTATTTTATACAAGCGAGCTTTGGAACACAAAGTATAAAACCAGAACCTTTAATAGTAACTTACGACACCGTTGATTCATTCGACGCTGTTGATCAGGACACGTACAAATAACGGTTCCACTTATGGTTTCAAAACAATCATAGCCATTGATTGGTATAAAATAACCGCCGAGCTCGCATATTGAACAGTCTTTTAACATGACATAGGGTTCTTATTTAAGGTATTAGTACACATCTCACTTACCAAAAGTGGTTGCTGTCGTAATGAGAGCGAAGAATACAACGGCACAAAGCGGAGTCATCACTCAATTGATCAAAAAACGTCTTGCGTACTAGATAAATAAGTGTGAGTCGCAGCTGCAAAGTTTCTCAGTTGTGTTTTTGCTCACTTCTAGCACAATGATAAGCGAGCGAGAATTGCCACTATGTGTGTGAGTAGCCCAACCGCAGGTGTGACAGGTTTCAACGAATATTCTCCGAATCGGTTCTAACATAGCTTATCGTGTAGAGCATATTGGATCTCGGGCACTTAGTGCCAAAAGATCCGCTATTATTATCCTTCTCAAAAAACAATAGTCGTGGTAGTTTTTTGAATAACTTGGGAACGCAAGCAGCTAGCGACATGCGGTTTTCACCAGCCGATAGACAAGACTCAAGAGCATACTAACACATGAAAAAACCTCTAAAACAAATTTTCAACCTGTGGTTTTCCAGAGGAAATCTGGAAAACCGAGGTGGATCTCAGGTTATTCTCTCACGGGCCCAGTGACTTTTTACATCCCTGCAGAGTCCAGAGTCTCCTCTACAAAATCCAATTTAACTGATCTCTCGATTTTCCATCCTTATTTAGCACAATCGAACTTCGTGAAACTCACGGAATTTCGAGATTTTTCACTCTAGGCATCTCACCATAAGATGAAAACATAGGTTTTCGATCATTATAATTATCTTAGCTATAGTTTCTGGTTTAGTAACATGTTTTATCTTCTATTATGGCAGCAACGTATTGCCGAGGGCGTGGAATATGGCCGTGAGGTCGTCGGTGTGGGTGTGCGGTGTGAAGTGTCGGTATGGCTCTGTGCGTACAACTGAAGAAATGAACTACACCCATACCCACACCTATACCCACACCCTAATCATTCAAAAAATTAATTGTTTTATTAAAACGAATTATTCAGTTATATATAAATAAATTAAAAAAAAACAAATTTGATGAAATAAATCGTTTTTGTTTAAATAAAGGTATACAAATCGTCAACGAATATTCTCTTATATTTCATAAATATTATTTGAATTATCATTTCCATTAATATTATTTGTAACAGTTATTTTTATTTCTCATTCTTTATTTAATAATAATGAAAATAATTCTTTATTTAATTTAAATTCATATAATAAATGTTCTCTTAATCCATATATAAATAATATAAATACTATAAATAATAATAGGAAGTGGCTATGTGCACTCAGGTTGGTATTATCAAAAAATTACTAAATATTGAGTTATATTATAGCCCTATATGTTCTTTATAATTATTATAATTAAAATCTATCAATTGATTAACAATTTTGCTCTATTTAGTCTTTATTAAATTCAAATAAAATACAAAGCAAGTATTACAATCAAAATAATATAAAAGAGAAAGTTAATTCAAGTAAAAATCGACTGATATACAAATATTTCTAGCACATACTCTCTTAAATTTTTCAAGGAAATAGTTGTATTTTCATTATTTTCAATATAACTAACATTAATCATATAAAAATATCTTTTTATAAAACAATAATGATAAAATTTTCTTTTACATTCGTTTCTGATTGTATCTCTAATTTTGACAGCTATTTTTTCTCATCTTGAAAGAATCTCAGTTTATAATCTTGTTTTAATTCTTATTCTTTAGTGAGGATTAATCAATGGGTCTTAAAAGAAGGATATCTCGTTCCAGATTAAAAGCTAATTGGAATTTTATGTTTTTCAATTTCCCATTTTGTAAGCTAATTAATCAAGAAAACGTAGAATCTTTCGTTCTATAAATTATCAATAGAGAAAGAAGGCAGAATTAATAGAGAAGAAAAACACTGGCATCGATATAGTTTCCGTCCGATGTATTGAAAATAATAAAATGCAACCATTTGGTTCAAAATCTAAGAGATCAAGCGCTAGAAATATTTCTAAATGAGTTGATTTTTATTTGAATTAACTTTTTCTTTTATATTTGTTTGATATTAAGACTTGTTTTATACTCTATTTGAATTTAACAACAAATAAATAGAGTAAAATTATTAATAAATTAATAAATTTTACTCATGTTAATTATGAAGTACATATATCGCTATAATATATCTCAATATTTAGTAACTAGTTGATAATACCTACTTGAGTGCACATAGCCGACTGGCTATGTGTACTCGAGTGTACATAGCCAGTCGGCTATGTGCACTCGAGTGTACATAGCCAGTTGGCTATGTGCACTTGAGTGTACATAGCCAATACACTAAGATGCGGCTATGTGCACTCGAGTGCACATAGCCACTTCCATAATAATAATACATTAAATAATGATTTATTTATAAATAAATATTCAACAAAAATCAATCTAATTATACGTTATTTAAATATATCAAATGATGATGATTATTTATATAATAAAATAGTAAATGATATTATATATAAATTAAAAGAAAATAATTATTCATTATATAATAAAACAAATGTTATTCAATGGAATATATTATCAGACGAATATAAAAAAGATGATTATTTATTAATCAATTTTCTTAATTCAATTAATATAACTATTGATATTGATAAATTGACATATGAATTGTTTTCATATTCTATTATTATTAAAAAGTCACAATATAATCAATTTAAAGAAAAATTATTTTCGAAAATCGATTATTCTTTTTTTCATCGAGATCAACATCCAGCTGAACAAATTTTATTTCAAATTTTTCTTTTTTCCTTTTTTTATTAAAATCGAATAAATTTAAATTAAAAATACGATTTATTTAAAAATTCTCATTCTTCATTTTTATATATTAAAATGTTTATTGATTCAATAGTTGTTAATAAAATGTTAAATGAAGATATATCAATAATTGATTCATTAAATTATCGTCGAATAAGTTGTACATTATATCGTCATCATAAAATAATTCCAACACGATGGTCATTTATATTTATGGAAATTTCATTATCAATAATATATCTTAGTTTCTTTATTATCACTAATTCAATTATTCAAGAAAATAATAAAAAGTTAAAGAAATTCTTAAAATAATTCATATTCAACCATTAATTAAGCCCCCCCCCCCAAAAAAATCGATCTCAGCCCAGGTACGTTCAAATGGGCTGAAATTTGGAGCATATGTTGGGACTGAAGTGAGGAGGCTGTGATAAAATTTTCAGCTCGATAGCCCGATGCTTGACAGAGATATGAATCAAAACAAGGGTCAAAAATAGCTCATTTTGGTACAAGGATTTCTCAGTCCGGATCCGTCCAACATATTAAAATTTTTTTTTAATTAGAAAGAGCATGTCAGGATGCAGGGCACTACAGAGTCCTTTTTTTAAGATTCTTACTTTTTTCGCGGAGAAAGGGGCTCGCAAGTCCAATGACTCAAAAAAGGTGCCAAAAATGGGTGTCCAGTCACATAAGTGTCTGTATATATAATAAAAAAACAAAGCTTAATTAAAAAAAGGACTCTGTAGTGACCTGCATCTCGACGCGCTCTTTCAAACAAAAAAAATTTAAATATATTTACTGAGCCTGGACTGAGAAATCCTTGTACCAAGATCAAAAAATCATAAACTGAGAAAAAACGAAAATCATTTTTCGTTTTTCTAAAAATAAGCATATTTTTCAAGAAGAGGTCAATGAAAATCATCGAAAATCTTGGCCAAAAAAGAGATGCCAAAGAAAAACCAATGTCGTTCCTGAAAGATCTAAAGACGAGCTATCTTTCCATGCATTTATCTCAATTTCAAAATTTTTGACGGAAATTGACTTTTTTTGAAGGGGGGGGCCTTAATTATTTTGCATGGACTTTAAGATATTTAATTATACTTTCATTTATTACTTTTTCTATAACAGATAACATCTATTTACAACTCATGTTCTTATATTAACATTTTTTAAGAACGTATATATATGTATTTGTTATCTGTATTTAAAATTAATTTAATAAAAATTTTCTATATTGAGATATGTATCTATTGAATATTAATTAGAAAAATATATCGAAGATTTCTTTCAATAAAATACTTTTTATTTAAACTTGAAAGTTTTCAATGAATTTCTTTAATGTAAAACTATTTATTAAAAGAGAGAGAGATAAACAAAATTGAGATTTTCCAGTCAAATTCCATCAACTACTTAATTAAATTGTTAATGATATGCATCTTATAGAACATAATAAATAAATATTTTAAATAATAAAAAAGAGAAAATTTATTTTTGTTTAAAGTTTTATGGAAAATGTCACTAAATGGATGGATTATATTTGAATATGTATCATATAAAACTTTATTATTCGTATTTATAATATTAAATATTCGATTAATATCATATTCAATATTAATGGGACAATTATTTAATTCATTTACTCGTTTATTTATATTAAAAATAATATTGTGGATAATTCTATTAATAAGATTTAATGAAAATCTCTCATATAAATATGAAATAATATTATGTATTAATCCATATAATTCATTAATTTATATTCTTCGTTATTTATTTCAATATGAAAGAACAATGATTTATGTTAATTTAAATAAAAAACTGTATCAATCAACAACTTTTTTATCAATGATTTATTTTATTATTATTATATTTAGTCATATATATTGGATACTTATTTGGTATTTTGAGAAAATTTATCCTGGTCACTTTTTTTGTCTTTATTGAAAATGACATTTTTTTCTTTTCTTCAATATTTTCTAGGTCAATATGGAACTGGTTTATCATGGAATTTTCCATTTTCAATTGAATATTGCAAATCATCTAAAATTGAATTTAATAGAAAAAGTTCTGATGATAGTTTAGATTCTCAATCAGATGAATTTCAATATAATGATAATAGTCTTATGGGGTGTGGGTGGGTGTGGGTGTGGGTGTGGGTGTGGGTGT